GGAGCACAACCAGATACAGAAAGCCAGTGCCTGCTGAGGTTCGAGTTGCGATCTGCATCTGGAGATTGGCAAAAAAAACCTGGAATACTGCTCTCTTTCCCACCTGTTTGGCGTCGGCCTGTCCACCATGTTGTCTTATAACACAGGAAGTTACCACGGCCATAAACACTGTTCTGAAACCACAGTATATTAGAACACTTTCTGCAGCTGAATTCCAATTAATTAGCCAAGGTTTTCGGGACAAGTGGAGATTTCCCTAAGTAGCCGATGCTATTGATGGAACGCATATGAATATTAGAGCTCCCCATGATGCATCAGAAGATTATTACAATAGAAAGGGGCATTATTCTATTATATTACAAGGTGTTGTGGACAACAAATTAAAGTTTTGGGACATAAATCCATGATGCCTGTGTGTTTCAGGGCTGTATGAGCGAGGTGTCAGAGGTGCACTGTTGCCAAGAATACAGGAAAGATTAGAGTATGAGGAGGGAATATGAGCCGCCATCAGCTGCCATTCATAGTTTGTTTGTTACTCTAACCAGGGCTGTTTCTATGCTGTGAAACCAGACTGAAATTTGAGGTGGTCCTGGAGATGGGCGGCAACAACTTTTTCCAGTACTTTGGAGAGGAATGGGAGATTAGAAATGGGCCTGTAATTTGTGAAGGCATCTGGATCAAGAGTGTTTTTTTTGAGAATTGGTCAGATTATGGCAGTTTTAGGGGCAGGTGGAACATTGCCAGACTGGAGGGAGTGGTTTATAATAGTGGCAATCAGAGGGCTTAGGGCAGAAGTGTTTGCTTTCACTAGACCTGTAGGAAAGGGGTCGAGGTCACAGGTGGTGGGTTTCATCATTTTGATTATCTTCTCAACCTCTTGTTGTGAGATTTCTGGAAAGCAGTGTAGGGGCTGTGAGATTGCAGGCTGTGAGTGTCACATTCTGCCTGATTGGTCATGTTTAGGTGAGTTTTGTTCATTGGTCTGTTCGGTCTCTGTTATTTAGTATGTGTTTTTGGTCCATCTCTTATGTTATACTGTTTCGCCTAATTTATTCTTGTGAATATGTGTTGGTTCTCATTTTGTTTTCTTGTCCTACTACTTAGTCCTGTATTTCAGTTCTGTGTCTCAATTCATGTCTTGGTGTTTACTCCCGGTCTGTGTACTTCAGTGTTTGTTATTTTTCCCATGTCTGCTCTGTGTTCTGTTTAATCCTTGTTTCAGTCTGTTTCCCTTGTTATGCTGTAGTCCATCTGTATTAGTTTGTATCTACGCTGTGCTCTTAGTGCTGTTTAGTCTGTTTCCTGTCTATTTTGGTTTTGATCTGTGTCTGCCTTGTCTGTCTCTTTCTGTTATTATCTGGTGTGTTGTCCATCCATGATGCCTGTGTGTTTCAGGGCTGTATGAGCGAGGTGTCAGAGGTGCACTGTTGCCAAGAATACAGGAAAGATTAGAGTATGAGGAGGGAATATGAGCCACCATCAGCTGCCATTCATAGTTTGTTTGTTACTCTAACCAGGGCTGTTTCTATGCTGTGAAACCAGTCTGAAATTTGAGGTGGTCCTGGAGATGGGCGGCAACAACTTTTTCCAGTACTTTGGAGAGGAATGGGAGATTAGAAATGGGCCTGTAATTTGTGAAGGCATCTGGATCAAGAGTGTTTTTTTTGAGAATTGGTCAGATTATGGCAGTTTTAGGGGCAGGTGGAACATTGCCAGACTGGAGGGAGTGGTTTATAATAGTGGCAATCAGAGGGCTTAGGGCAGAAGTGTTTGCTTTCACTAGACCTGTAGGAAAGGGGTCGAGGTCACAGGTGGTGGGTTTCATCATTTTGATTATCTTCTCAACCTCTTGTTGTGAGATTTCTAGAAAGCAGTGTAGGGGCTGTGAGATTGCAGGCTGTGAGTGTCACATTCTGCCTGATTGGTCATGTTTAGGTGAGTTTTGTTCATTGGTCTGTTCGGTCTCTGTTATTTAGTATGTGTTTTTGGTCCATCTCTTATGTTATACTGTTTCGCCTCATTTATTCTTGTGAATATGTGTTCTTGTCCTACTACTTAGTCCTGTATTTCAGTTCTGTGTCTCAATTCATGTCTTGGTGTTTACTCCCGGTCTGTGTACTTCAGTGTTTGTTATTTTTCCCATGTCTGCTCTGTGTTCTGTTTAATCCTTGTTTCAGTCTGTTTCCCTTGTTATGCTGTAGTCCATCTGTATTAGTTTGTATCTACGCTGTGCTCTTAGCGCTGTTTAGTCTGTTTCCTGTCTATTTTGGTTTTGATCCGTGTCTGCCTTGTCTGTCTCTTTCTGTTATTATCTGGTGTTTGCTTCATGCTTAGTTTCTGTCTGCCGGCCTGCCTCTTTGTTTTCCCCTGCTGTCTCTCTGCCTTGTTAGCCCTGATCCCGGTCACCTATGTTGCTCCCGCCCTGCTCATTAGTCCCTGAGTATATATGTTTGGTGTTTCTGTTCATTCCCTGTCTGGTCATTTTAGTGTGATTACACACTGTTGTGTTGTGTGTTGAGTGTTCTGCCTGATTCGGAGTTTTCTGACGTTTTTGGATTTTGCCTGCCTCCAACCTGTAAGCCATCTTGCTTTTGTGGATGAAAACCCCTGAACTGAATCTCTGCTCTGGTGTCCTGCATTTGGGCTCTCACCTCCTCTGCGCTCACCCACGAAACCTGACAGTGAGTGTACAGTTGGGGCGAGTGGATAGAGTCTATTTTTGTTTTGAAAAAGGCCAGGAAATTATTAGTGCTCTTCTGTAGTTTCTGTGAGTGAGAGGGTTTGTGGTTTGACAGTTTACAGAAAGGAGATGCTGGAGGTTGGATGCCATGGTCTCTGGGTTGATGTTTTTCAGGTTTCTGAAGCAGATTTGGCGTTTGGGCTTGATGAGGGTGGACGGTGACGCCATCTTCATGGAGAAAGCCTTGTGGTCAGAAACACCCAGATCATAGACCAGAAGATTGCTGAGATGAGCAGAGTTTGTAATGACTAGGTCGAGAGTGTGCCCCCTGGTGTGAGTGGGGACATCGACAAGTTGCGCCAGATTAAAACAGTCAAGCAATTGGAGGAATTCTGCTGCAAAACGGCAGGTGGGGGAGTTGACATGAATATTGATATCTCCAAAGACTATGATATTGACAGACATTGTACAGGATGTTTAGAGAAGGTTGGACATCTCCGGGATGAAAGATGCATTTGGTTTGGTAGATGAGAAGTATCGTTGTGGAGAGAGGGGGCTTACTTTGAAATGCAAGGAATTCAAAAGAAGACAGCTAAGGCAGGGTTATAGGGGACACGTCTGGCAAAGGAGTCCAAGTTTTAATGACCAATATGCACAATGCCAAGTGGATATTGTCCACTCCTGTGAAGTTGCTTCGCCCAGCACCTGCTCTTCAGTTGATTGTGGACTTGGACGGAGAGGTGAGTGACGTTAGCCCGTTGCTATTTTGACTTGTTACCAATCAGCTAATACTGTGGGCGGGACATTGTACTCTGTCGGCTCGAGCAGATAGAGAGAGGTGGCTGCATCAGAGCCAAAGGAGCGCATTTTTTAAATGAATTATATCGGCTATCTGTTTTTCAAATGACCTATGCAGATTATTGGGAAAAATGCTGAATATCGGCGCAGATAATCGGTCACACAGATTATTGTTTGACCCCTAATTTTGATTCAGAATCATGTACTACATTAAGCCAGACTAGTCTCATTCATATAGTATTCATTATTCATTCATCGCTGTAAATCACCTCGGTATTCCCTGTCGTCAAACTGGCCTCCGTCGGTCGTGGAGGCTGTGTTGAATCCCTGTTCCAGGCCGTGTTCACTGGGAGGCTGCTAAGCCAGGTTCCTTTGCCCGCTTGTCCGGCTCCTGTTTTGGAGCTCATTCTATCTAAGCTCCCCAGCAGCATTTCCTGCTGGGTCCTCCGCCCCAGTTCTCAAAACCTCCTCATTAACTGTTCTCCATACATTTCTCCATAATGTTTATCTGACTTGTATGTGTTCAGCTGTTGAATCTATATTGGGGTTAAGGGCCAAGTTTAGTCCCCACCAATGAAAATTATTAATTTCCCATATTTCATTAGAGAGGTGATATTATGCTCATTTTCAGGTTCAAAATCTTAATTAGGGGTTGTACCAGAACAGGTTTACATGGTTTAATTTTCAAAACACACCATATTTTTCTCATACTGCACATTGCTGCAGCTCCTCTTTTCACCCTGTGTGTTGTACGCTACGCTCTTAAGCTACAGAGTGATGCATCTTACTTGTACAAAATCTTTGTTGGGAGGTGCACATGCGCAGTTCCCAGGTAAGGACTACTAGCCAATCAGAAGCAGAGAAGAGCGGGTTGTAAGAAACAAGGTAGTGTGATCCAAATCAAAGCCGCTTCAGACTGAGACCGTAACCTAGCAGATGGTGTAATTTACTCAAGTCCACAACCACACAACATCATTGTTCCACATCTTACCATTAGGACTAAACATTGAACTGTTGCCGGTGTTCTGACGATCTCTGCTGCCTTGCCGAAAAATGCTACCATAGCGCAAATCGATAGACTCGACTATACTTGGCCCTGCTCCGTTTTCCATTGCAGATAGAGAATATGTCTCTGGGTATCAAATAAGTTTCTTGGAGAAACACTACATCTCCCTTTTCTGTTGCTGAAATACTTTTCTTAATACAATTATTGAGGCCATTAACATTCATACACTAGATATATTATGTTGTATTGCATAGTAAAGTGTTTGTTCTATCAAAGAGAATGAACGCCATATCATTCCCAAAACCAAACTGAGCAACGTATAACAGCTTTTCCTGTTCCTTTTCATGCTTGCTGTGTTTTGGTTTTGTCTGTCTGTGCTCCTGAGCGTGTCCTCTGGCTTCCCTGGGTTGGCACTCTCACTCACCTGACAGCAATCTCCACTCACACACCTGTTCCTCATCACTCCAATTACTTCACTCTACTTAAAGGGGCTGTATGTAGTTTTCAGCTGTGACTTGCGGTGCGGTTTTTAGATTGCAACCAGGCGTGTGATCGTGTGCATGCGTGAGCAGAATTCTACACACAGAGACCAACACATTGGGAGACAGCTTTACGCAACATGCTGGAAACTCAGGTGAACTCCCACTGTAATGTAACAGTAATATTTTTATCAACTTGAGGTTGAACTAATCCATGCTGGTTACATGACAACGGTACTTTGACTGCATTTGGTTGACATGATATGTCGGTGTTGACTCGCCTGCTGGCTTTTCAGTAACAATTTGTATCTTGTGACACCCTCTGGGGTCAGGTGTGGGTATGGCCCTATGGCTCTTTCCCTTGCAGGTGAAGAGCTGAGGCTCACTTTTGAGTTGAGCTGCAGCTGGGCTGAGGTTGCAGACCTTCCTGCTGGCTGACTCCCCTCTGTTTCTCTCCACAGGCTCCACCTTTGGATTAGTTTCGTGTGTGTGTGTGTGTTGCACATAACAACACCCTTACACAGCTATTCATCATCCTGACACTACTGAAACCACTGATGTTCTAACCCCATACTTTAATAACATTTTGTCACAATTCTTAATTTGGCTTATTTTGGGTTTTAGAAACATATTTAGTTGTTTGTTGTGGTGTGTCTCCCTTTTTGGTGTGGCCACTTGAGCCAGCTCCTAACAATCTTTCACTGGAGGCTCATCAATGTGAACACAGCTAAATGTATTGGATGATAATGAAAACTGTTAATGAGCTAGACTGAATATTATAAATGAGATTGTTGCCATACTTTAACAGTTGGTGTGCGTGAGGATAGAAAAAGCCCTCCTCAGTGGAATGGAGATAAAACAAGTCACCGAGTCAATGCGTGAATATTAATTGATTATAAAAAAGTTTTTATCTAGGGCTGGGCAAGTTATTTTCTCATGTTAAAGGGCTATATGAAAGTTTTTTTTTTTGTTTTTTTTTTAATGAAACTACTTTATTAATAAACAAATTTTCATTGCCTTATTGTCAATGGCCTCAAAACTCACTCACGCATGTTTTCTCTTTTGCTTGCATCAACCACTATTCTGCTGTAAATGGGAGGACACCTGGTTGGATTCAGCCCCGTGCGAGCTCCCGAGCCTCTTTGACTCGCTAGCGCCACCTAGAAAATTGAAAAAAATTTGCCCCTCGTCCACGTTCAACCTACATGCGCGAAATATACAGGGGACATGTATCGTATCATGACGCACAAAAAAGCCTCAAGAACCCATACCCTAAACTCAACAGGAAGTCGGCCATTTTGAATTCTACGGCCATTTTTGGATGATTTACACACTTCGTACTTTAACGAACTCCTCCTCGGGATTTAGTCGGCTCTACTTGAAATTTCTGATGTGTCTTCTAAAGGCATTGATGATAAGTTGTGCTATCTGTGAGTTTTCATCAATGGGCGTGTCCGTGGCATCAAAGATCAGCTCTTCACCATGACACAGGAAGATGTAACTTCAGTGTACATGCTCACATCTGAACAAAACGTTACATGCTTGATAACTCTCCCACCCCGAAGACATCTACACGCCAATACCGATTTTATATTCATAGTGGCAAGTGCTATGTAGCTCCACATAGGGGACACAGGAAGTGACATAACACCTTCATGCTGCGTCCGAAGCGCGTAGCAAATTCACAGCCGCACCGGCAGAGCTCCAGAATGTGCAACGCGGCTGGCTCACACCCCGACACACTACAAGTGCAAGGGCCCGCCCAACGCTGCTTGCAGGTTTAATATTATGTTCTTGCAGTTTTGTGTGTGTATAGCAGTACAGCACTAGTTTGGTCTTGTTCCACTCATAACATTTATTTGATGTGCATGTTGCATGTCAACAAACGTACTGTAGATGAAATATAAAATTGTTCAGACAGGTAAGATGCGTAATTTCATTAGAAGCAGTTGTGATGTTGTTCAGCATAGACTACCCTACCGAACAAAATGGCATTCAGTGGCCACATGTAACGTGTGATAATATAATTTTTTTAAGGCAAGAACTTTATTTTTTTTAGCCATTTTGATACTACCAGTATTTGATATTGTGTATTTGAAAGTAACAGCTAAATGCCCTCGTCCATAGTCCACAAATTTGTGCTGAAATGTGACCTTCATTATAGCCAACAGCAGAAAGATGATGATGATGGGTGAAAATCAGAAAGGCTGATTGTTAGCTCGTCGGCTAGCTATAATGTTATGGCTTTCCATATTACTTCACTAGTTAACGAGACCATATTACTATCCTGTGGCCCCTCCCGGTTATATGTGAGGTTTATTTTATTTTTTTTAGCCCGCAAGAAATGATAATGGTACAGAGCAAATGTGGAATGATTTGTACTTGATTGTGATGCAAGGCAGGCAGACAGCTAACGTTAGCAGGGAACCGCTGCTATTTGCTTCGTAACATTCTATTTAAATTTATTGTTTTACTGATACTCGGGTACACAGCTTCTTCGCCCCCTCAGTCGCTGTCCCACACCCATTCACTACAGTAACGTCCCTGTCCCTCCTTCCAAAAGTTTTTAATTGTTTGTTAAATACATCCTGGATATAAAAAACTAAACAAAAATTATAAAAAAAATAAAGGTTAACAAAACAATTTACTTTTAAAACAAAACATACTAACAGACTCAAACATGACGTGCTCTCCTGCTGACAGCCATTTATGAAAAATGTACACAGAGCAACAGACTGAGTCGCCTCTATCCTGATGAACGAGTTGCCATGGTAGCGACTTGTCAATCACAAGGTAGTCCCGTCCAAAAGCATACGCTGCATTATCGTCTATTTTCCCCTAAATAGGACCATAATATACTAAATGAACATCTGTGTTGAAGAAGACTTGAAACTAGCGACTGAGGCACAGGCCCCCACAACTCATTTAAGTGTTTACTGAGGTAATAAATCAGCTGGGAAGTAGTAACATTTTACCATTATTTCTAATGGAACTCGCCCCCTGCTGGCCTTTAGAGAGAATGCAGCTTCCATCTGCATGGTTTCACTTTCGACCCAGAGGTTGCCGCATGATTGAGATTAGAGAAATAACATTTGACAACCTCGTCACAAAACTACAACTCTGGATTGGACATCTGTGTGTTTTTTAAATGATGTTGACAGTGTTTCACTCGAAATCAATTTGATTATCATTTGGCCTGATGGGATTGAGCAGTGGTGTTTTTTTTTTGTGTTTTTTTTTTTATATCCTTACGTAGAGTTTATGTGGAAGTTTGTGTTGGGAGCCAGTGGTTTTATAGTGTTACTGGACTGTATTTCGCTAGCAGCGGTATTGTTGCTGTAGTAGGAAAAAGGCTCGGGAGCGCACATGCTGAAAATCTGACTCGATTCCTTCACATACTATAATAGGCAGAATACTGGCTGTTCAAACAGAAAACAGGCGTGTGGTTCATTTTTTTTATGTGAAGTTACAGCCCATTGACAAACGGGCAGCTAAAAAGGGATTTACTGATTTCATTGAACAACTACATATAGCCCCTTTTTTAAGATCAGACCAGCTTTCTACTCCCTGCTGGATCGCTGACATATTGATTACATGCTCACACACACCTTGCTTATTCTAGTACTGTCTGTTAACTTGTCTGCACCGCTAAATGGATTTTTCCTGTCTTCAGGATTCACCACCAGACCTCTCGCACCAAACCCCTGATCACCCAGCCTGACTGTTTCAGGAAACAGGAAACTTGCTCTCCCATTTGCCATTCTCTGTCAGCACCCAGGACCCAAACCCTAGCCCCACGCACCTGCCAGCCACTCTGATTCTGTTGTCAATAAATAACACTTATTCTTGTACTCTGTCTCCAGTCTGATGTATGCTTAGTTACGGGTCAAAGAGGACGCGAATGTTGGTGGATTATGACATTCAAAAAAACGCATGAGATTTTCCCCAATTGTGCATCTAGTCGGTCTGTCAAAATGCAAGCAATGCATCTCATGTAGAGTGACGTGTGCAGACTCCCAGAACGCCTGGTGAGTCAATGACTACAACATGATGTCTTCAATACAAAAACGGTTGGGGTCGGCAAAAAGAATTGCTCAATGTACACATTTTATTCATCATTCACCAATAAATGAAACACAATACACTGTAGTAACGACACAACCTGTGGTTATAACCTGAACCTCATATTTCGCATCACTTAATTTTACCTGACATCATCTTTGATCCCCATCTCATCTTTTGCTTTCAGGTGATCCGCCTCCTACAGTGTTTTAGAAGTGTGTGTGTGTGTCCCTGTGAGGCAGATCCATAGGCTGTGTCATGAAGATTGACAGAGACGGATGACAGATATGTTATGTAAGATGATACACACAAACACACATTTATCTACAGGGAGAGCAAGAAATTATGTGAGACAAAATAAATCTAGAGTAACACTATTTACAAAGAGAGGTGAAATCACTTGAGACTCCAAGAGAGGCAGGTTTTGTGTACAAATCAATGCAGTAAAACACACACACACCCCCCACCACCACCTGCTTTATTAGAACTGGTTCAGCATGATTTAAGAAAATGTAAAAAAGAAAACCAAAACTATATGGCAAACAGCAGCACCAATGAATGAGCACTGGAGTATTGACTGTTTTATTACAAAATATTGAATCTTATGGTACTTTCTCCACAGCTGAGAGAGGGAGAAAGACCTTCACAATAGAGCTTCAGGAATAAAAGAAATTCACTGACTCTGTAGGAAGAAAAGGCTCTAAATACACTACATAATGCGCGCGTACACACGCACACACAAATCAGAGTTCCGCATGGATCTAAAATTCGGCTGAACTCCACACGTACTGCTGAATTTGAGTCCTGAGACCAGCATTTAGGTTTTTGCTTTATTTCATCTTTATTGCAAAACGCATTTCAGAGGTGGTGTGATTGGATATAAAGTCAATTGAAAGTGGGCGTGAAATTACAACTTGGCTGTTGATGATTGATGTCCATTCGGGTTGAGTGATAAATGTATGTTTTATGCCAAGACTTGAACTGACTCCACTTCATAAATGTGGACACAAGGAAAAAAGAGGGGAACTGTAGGAAAGAGTGTACTGGAGTTCTGAGATAAGCCAGAGTCTGAGCTGTAATGCAGACACACTTATGCTAGCTAGTTACAAAAGTAATTTGTATAATCTGTACTTCGTGGAAAATAAACAAGAACTGCAATGAGTCCAGCAGGACAAACCTTAAAGACCCTTGTGCACCGGAGCCACCAGGATCACCGCCAAGGCTGAATCCTGCAAAAGCGTATAGCAGCCGGCAGGGCCACAGGGGGTGCACGAAGGGATCCACCCTCATTGGGGGTCGTCCCGTGAGCTCAGTGAGAACCACGGGGCACACTGAGCGTTCTTTCGGTTGTCGAACAGATCCACCACTGCCACGCTAAACCTGAGCCAGATCTAGGCCACCAGATCAGGGTGAAGGCACCACTTGTCTGGGCAAGGGCCCCGCCATGCAGTGGAATGAACCAGGTCCTGGTTCGTTCTGTCTGACTGTTGGTCTGTGGGTGGTAACCAGAGGACAGACTCACCGTAGCTCCTAAGGCTTGACAGAAGGCCCTCCAGTCTGGGGTGAACTAGGGGCCCCGGTCGGACACAATGTCAGTGGGGTTCCCATGGAGGTGGAACACATGATGCACAAGGAGATCTGCTGTCTGGGAGGCTGTGGGGAGCTTAGGAAGTGTCACTAAATGTACAGTCTTAGAGAATCTGTCCATGATAATTGATGGTATTACCGTGGGACGGTGGTAGTCCAGTGAAAAAGTCTAGAGCTATGTGTGACCAGGGGCGTCCGGGTAATGGCAGGGGACGGAGTAGACCAGCTGCAGGTTGGTGAAGGAACAGCGTCAGGGACTAAAAGATGGTTAGCGGGGTTACCTGGGTCCGGCTGGGTTCACTGGGCCTTCTTGATGATGGACACCACACAGGTGGAGGGCGGGACGGTGTTGGGGTTGGCCATGGTGTATTCAGCGACATACTGACGGGAGAGAGCATCTGGTTTGACGTTCAGAGAGCCGGGGTGGTAGGAAATGATGAAGGAGAAACGACCAAAGAATAGCGCATATCGTGCCTGCCAAGAGTTGAGGAGAGCACCAGGATGTCGTTGAAATATACAAACACTGAGCGATTAAGGAAGTCCCGCAGAACATCATTCATGATGGCTTGGAAAACTGCAGGGGCATGGGTTAAACCAAAAGGCATGACCAAATATTTGAAGTGACCTAGGGGTGTATTAAACGCCGTCTTCCCAAATCCTGACTTGATGATATGCGTTCCTCAGGTCCAATTTGGAGAAGATGGTGACCTGGGTTCAAAGGTAGAGGCGATAGTAGAGGATATTTGTTCTTGATGGTAATAGCTTTAACATTCCTGTAAAATCCAGGTCCAAAACACCTATTCAAGGCATATCCAACGTAAATTGAATGTAGTTCTTGAACCATTTGGAGTATATGCATAGTTTTGGGCTTCTCTGAAAGATAACACTCTGGAGATTGATTGTAAGTGCTACTGGAATTGATTAATATAAGTATAAACACTGAAACTAATATATTTTGAATTTCTACATGAAAATGCTTGCTGACAAATGCATACAGACAACTATAGTTGTGACTTAATTGCTGGAAAAAACTGTAGGACCACAGGATAAAGCATTACCTAGTCCTAGTTTAAATTTCATACCAATCCCATGAAAAATTACTATTTTACACAGGTTTTTCTAAGTGTATGTCTAAGCGTATTTTTCCTAAAACAGCCCCGCCTCTTGGTAGCAGGCGGCTGCTGCTGCATCGCTCCGTATTAGACAATAGCTTGACGCAGATGTGTTTTCTCTGCTGGTAGATCATGAACTTCCTACTTAAAGCTGGGTATCATTATTTTCATAATTTTATTGGCTACACGAAGTGCCAGTCATCGGCACAATTGCTTGCAATTGCCTCGGCCTACGCACAAAATAAAGGAGGCTGGCCCCTCCTTCCAGTACGGGCTCTCGTTGGCTATTGAAGGTTGTGAAAGGGACATGTGAGCTCTTATTGGGTCAGATTTGGTGTCACTTGAAAGGTTAGAGTTAAGCGTCTAATTTGAATACAAGCTATCGTAGTTGTTTACATTCAAATTGACATTATTACGGTTATAATGACATACGAGCCACATCTGCCGGCAAATATGAAACGATGCGGCAGCAGTTCCTGGGGATTTATTGATGGAATAATGTATTTTGGACTAAATGTTTTTACTGGATTGGATCATCTGGACCCTTGACAGCGTAACAAGACCATTTTTGTTGGAATATAATTTATCGGTGGATTAAGTTACTATGCGGCTTCATACGTGAGTCGCATCAATTTTGCTTGTACTGGTTGCGCTGATTGTACCCGCTGTGGTGATTGTAAATCCGTGTTCTTTCATTATTTCGTTTCAAAATCAAAAAAAAAAACAAACAAAACTAAGCAAAAAACCCTCTGGCTGGAAGAAGCCTTACGCTACACACCGGTCAAAGATAGAACAAAACGCAGCTCCTTTGTTTTCTGTTATGGTTTTAAAACAAAACAACACATGCCTTGTTGTTTATGTGTAGATGCAGAGGAAGAATGGGAAAACAGCACACATCTCATCGTTACTGTGTGGGAGAGCATGGGATAACAGTGGGTACTTTTAATACAGCCCACACCCCTAATGTTACTGTGTAACTTTAACAAGTGGAGAACAGTCAAGATTTTTTTTCCCCAACTGTCTGCATAGTTTATTCATCTTGTGTAATGAATGAAAATAAATAGGCCTACTAGGCTCCTCTCTACTTTGACATTTAAGATTAGCTGTGTTTGATCCACCTTCATACACATGTGACATTACTGTACAACTTGAGAAAGGTAAGTGGTTTTCTGCTCCAGCCTGCCTAAAAGAAAAGCGTTTTTGGGATTAAATGGGCTTTATTAGCTGCTGCAGTGCAGGATGAACTAAGAACAGACACATTTCTCAACTTATTATTCTATTTATTTACTTTATTTTTTTGTGCATTTAATCGGATGCTTATTTATTTATTGAGCATTTATTTATTTCTGGATTTGTCAGGATCAGTCCTCCATATAAGTGTAAGGCTGCTGCTCAAAAACCAAAGAACACAGCATAAGGAAAGCTTTACACATACCTAAGTCACCTGCATAACGCTCAGGTGGATGAATGTGGGGTTCCCTGGGAGAAAAAGGGGGAGGAGCTGATGTAGCAGTGACAATGGGCTGTGCTTCAGGCGGGAGAGGCAAACTGGCTCACCTGAGTGATCCGGTGAACGTCGGCAGACAGGTGTTTTTAGTGCCTCCATTACATCCTGGAGAACCATTTCATGCTGGCCCACGAGTACGCCTTGGCTTGTGATGGCATGCTGGAGCTCCTCGGGGGATCGGCGGGGCTCGCCCAATCCCGCTGTGTTCACAGCCGCTGAATCCATGTCCACTGAGTCTGTGTCCGCTGTGTCCATGCTGGCCAGGTTGTTCTGCTACGACAACCGGAGACTTGGGACTGTCCAACAGGATGAAAGCCAACTCTGGGTCAGGTTTATATTTAAAACAAAACAGAGGTTTTGCCTTGACTCAAACACCTTGTTTTTCTCCCAATTCGGTCTGTTTCTCGGCCAACAGGTGTTATCGTTAGTGTTACAACAACCGGAGACTGGGGACACAAGTCCAGGACACAGATAAGGGTGTTGCTGGTAAGGGGGACGGTATTAGTAAGTTACACACAGAAGATGAGGGAGGAGTGGCAGTGGAGGTTGAGGTGATGGACGGTGGGAGCTGTTGGTCGTTGGG